TAGTAGGGCAGAAATGTAAGAAAATTTTTGGATTCAGCAAATGCAGCAAGAACACCAGGAAGGAAGCTTCCTTTGACAATTCCAATTGGTCCACTGTAACAATCATTATCTAAACAGTAGGACTACACTAGTATCTTATCATTGTGATTGGGGATGATTTGGTTGCAAATTGATTTTCCAATGAAGGAGGCTGGGTATTGACAACAATTACTAATTTTGGATTCAGCAAATGCAGCAACATTACTACAAAGAAAGCTTCCCTTGACAATCCCAATTGGTCAACTGTAACAAGCATTATCTAAATAGTAGGACTACATCTTATCATTGTGATTGGGGATGATGATTTGGTTGTAAATTAAGTTTCCAAAACCAAAGACTCAGTTTGTTGCCTCATCATTGTTGTTGTTGAACAAGAGTGTCCTACTGTATTCTACACATTTGTACACATTGAGTTTTCTGAACATGRAAATCAAGTGGTTGAGAGCCAGCATTAGAACTGCTCTGGAATGGGCTCTAACATCTTTTCCTTTGGGGACAAGCTTGGTCATAGTGTTGGGAAGGTATGTGTGTGCCATCAGTGTCCTAATAATGCTCATCTAACAGCCAGTATGGCCAAATTTTGCTATTTCCAAGACMAGCACCAAGAAGTGACCYCAAAAACAACTCTAGACCACTGAACTAAGTGCCCACTCCTTATTGACATAATAACTTAGATATCTGTGTCATTGGGAACCCATAGGATGCTATGGCGGCTTGGGAACTAGCTCACCAAARTTACAGTAACTGGTGGCCAAATTTTGATGTAAGAAACAGGGCAAGACAGAACATACTCAATTTCAAAACAGAAGTTCTACTAATAGAAGTATTTTTAACGTTTTTGTAACTCGTGTTCCAAATGTTGCCACCCACAAAATTTAGAACTTTTTCTTTGCTATCACTACTGCWCTACTAGTACTCTACTTATTGTATCTCTCTCATCACTAGTATATAATATTATAAGAATATAGTATTTCAACAAAGATAAAAATATAATTACTCATTTACAACACATCACTACAMTTGATGGTTGAAGTTACTCCAATACTCTTTTTTACATACATCAACATGATGGCAAGACCTTCTGCAACACCAAMCATCCTTTCTTGACATTTTCAGCATAGTACTAGTAGTAACAAGAGTCCCTGRCTGGCAACTTGCTCAATCTCCTGCTCACTGATAAATCAGGATACCTTTACTTTGCTGCTTCTTCTACTACACAAGCAAAACAATAGTTCCTCTTTGCTCCTTCATACTTTCCACTGCATCTTTCTTCATGTGGCTTTGTTCATCAATGCAATTATGCCAAGATGTATGAGGAGCTYRAAATATATTCCTYGTATTGTATCAAAGTATGGATGATTTGTACACTTTCCACCATTTCTTCATAAACTCATCACACACAAGGCTTGTTGCATTTATGTACCAAGAGTGTACTACCACTCTCTTGAGCAACTAGAAGAAAATGAAAAGATACCACCATCTGTTTGTGCAAAGTGATGTTGAATACTTGGTAGTATCCAAACCTTMTGGAGAGCATGAACTAATCTTCTTCTTCCTCTAATCAACAGTTCCATTTGTTTTCTTCATATAGTAACTTTGTCACAACTTTCATTGTAATGTAAGAGTTGCCCATGACAGTTGGTAGCCATTATCTTGTCCAAGGTTGGATTGAATTATCAACTGCTGACTGATATCCCAGGTGGACCCACCACCACTAATGCCACGAGTGTAGATTGTCTCAAAGGTAAGTAAGTACCCAGTGCCTGCATCACACAGACAGTATACTACCTTGATACATGACAGCTTGATTGATTTCTTAGGAAGATACTGAATAAACCAGATTGCTTTTCTCCCTTTGTGAATAATTAACCAGAGACTCATCAAAAGACAGATCAATATTTGCATGCCACCTGAGAAAAAGACAACCAGAAATTTCCCCATCACAGCCCTGATTTTGGGGAGGGGGTTGGYAGTGTGATTGGCTTGACTTCTGCTGAAAATRAACAATTTGGCTAAAAAAGGCAAATCCATTTTTGCTCCTTGTATTCCTGACAAAAGGAGCATAGGTTCYGCTATTCTCAAGACCAGCCAAGAGTATTTGAGGTGATTGCTTTGAAGTAAAACCTCTGAAGTAGATGCATACCAAGCCAGGCCAAGATGTAACCACAATKGAAGTTCCATTGGTCTTTCACTGACTCTAGAACAATCTTCTTTTGATTGGGATAGGTGAYATTGCATGAATAGATCAGAGTACTACTAGTAATAGTATTTGTGAGGGTCTGGACCAAAATGCTGATCATCAGATAGGTTTGCATTGATACCATACAAACAATCGTCACAAAAAAAGAAAGAATCATCATCCACTATGGTGATAGTACTATGATAGTAATTTTACGAAAAAGTTGTAATACTACTACTTCAAATCATAAAAATCATTCTTGAAGGTGACAGCAAGGCAAACACTTTTTTTCTCTCTCGGAAGTCTTCACAAGGGACAGTTTGAGTGCATGATTTTATATGAAATAAAGTATCGAAATATTTAGGGCAGAAGCTTTCAACCTACAAGTAGTTCTAGTCACCACGAAGAGAAAGCATTTAAAATGTATCTCAGTCAATAAGCTTGGGAAAAGCAGAACAACTTCGCGAATTTTATGGAATGAGTGSAAAAAGAAAAATTGATGCAATCAAGAATTAGATTGTTGCATCATGCGCCTCCAAAACTGATCTCAGAGTTTTTTGCTATCATTCTACCCTTSGACCGAATTTCTCCCAGAAGCCATTCAGAATTTTCAAGGACCTTCAACATTTTTCATGAATCATTTTAATTACTGAAAATTCTGAAAATAATGACCATACTGCTCAAGTTTTCAAGTTCTCACCCGCGGTGCGGCCTGCAACATCACCTATGTCCTTGTGTGCATCAGTCCAGGCTGTGTGAAAGCGGCCTGGCATGTCAGTGCGCTCATACGTATGACCTCCAAAGAAGTCACGCTGCGCTTGCGTCAAAGAAGCAGGAAGACGCTCACGGCGGTATGTGTCAAAATACATTAGAGAGCCACACAAAGAGGGGCAGGCAATCCCGCTTGTAGCGCAAAGGGCAACAGTGCGTCTCCACGCAGGCTCAGCGTCGATGATCTCTTTTGCAAAGCCGGGATCAATCATCAAGTTTTGAAGGTCTGGATTCGTACTGAAGGCCATTTGGATGTTGTCCAAAAGCTTTGCGCGAATTATGCACCCGCCCATCCACAGACGAGCACATTCGGCAAGATCAACACCCCATTGAAATTCATTGGAGGCAGCCTTGATCAAGCTCAAGCCCTGTGCATAGGAGCAAATCTTGGATGCGAAGAGTGCCGATCTCAAGTCCGCAATAACTTGATCTTTGTCAACTGCATTTATCATTGGAGATCCAAAAATCTTCGATGCGGCAACCCGTTCGTCCTTCCTGGCACTCAGCACTCGCGAATCTAAGGCAGCAACTATTGTTGGTGCAGCGACCGCACGTTCGGCCGATTCTTTTGCTGTCCATAGACCTGTTCCTTTCATACCGGTTTTGTCGAGAATGCTATCAACAAGGTAACCGTTAGTCGTGTCRTCTTTTTTGCGCAGGCAAATTTCTGATATCTCGATTAGATAGGAGTCTAGCTCGCCCTTATTCCACTCAGCAAATACGTCGGCAATCTCATCGTTGTTCATGCTCAATAAAGTCTTCATCACATCGTAAACTTCCGCAATGAGCTGCATATCACCGTATTCAATACCATTGTGCACCATCTTGACGTAATTGCCACTACCAACTGGTCCCAAATAGCCAACACAAGCTCCTGTCCTCTCAACTTGAGCAGCGCATTTTTCGAAAATGGGTGCGACCAATTCGTACGCTTGTTTAGGGCCGCCTGGCATCAATGCAGGTCCATTTCGAGCGCCCTCTTCTCCTCCAGAGATACCCATTCCAATGAACTGAATGCCCTTATTCAACAATTCAGTTGAGCGTCTTACGCTGTTCGGGTACCATTCATTACCACCATCAATAAGTATGTCTCCAGGCTCCATAAATGCAGATAGCTTTTTGATTGTTTCATCAACAGGCTTGCCTGCCTGGACCAAAATTATAACCTTGCGAGGCTTGCTAAGGCGGGCAATAAATTCTTCTGCACTCATGGCTCCTACCAGAGGAAAGTCGCCTTCCAATTTGGCACGTGCAACCGTAGTATCGACCTTTGCTGGAGAACGATTACCGACACATACTTTAAAGCCGTGAGATGCCATGTTCAGGGCAAAATTCTGACCCATCACCGCCAAACCCCACAATCCAATTTCAGATTTTTCATCATCGGAAAAGTCGAATTTTGATTTTCCATGAGCGCCAGATACAGCCTTTGCTTTCCCGCTGGAGTCATTATAAACATAAGCATCGTTCCTAGTGAATCCTAAGGTGGCAATGAACTCGTCTGCTTCAATCGGCCCACGAGAGCCTAAAATATGAAGAACAAAAAACAAACAAACTTAGCACAAAGAATTCCGTGGGAGAAGAGTTTTGGTTCACGACAAAGATCTTGGAACACTTACCCTGTAGGTACTTAATTGGACGAACGTTGGTTTCCTCGATCTGGTGAAGGATTGGAGTAAATATCTTCCAAGCACGCCGAAGCTCGTCGTCGCGAACGAAGGCACCTTGATTACCTTGCAATACATCGAGAATCAGACGAGTATAAGCATCCGGATTGCACATTTTGTTGTTGGCAAAGAAACGAGTGTCGTAGTTGAGCTCCATTTCTGTTTGAAGCGGTTGACTCGTAAACCCGGGGCGCTTCACATTTGTCTTCACATAAATTGCTTCCTTTGGCTGCAATCGAAGTACGATTTCGTTACGAGGGCAATCGTGACCTTCAAATAAATATTCAGCAGCAGGAGCATCCTTTAATTGAATTCGCATCTCTGCCTTGCGCTCGTTGAGTGCCTTACCAGCCTTTAAAATAATTGGTACCCCAGCCCATCGAGGATTGTTGATTCTCATTCGAATACAGGCAAAGGTAGGTGTGTTTGTGTCCTTGTTTGTAATGGTTGGATCGTCTTCGTATCCTTCGTACTGGCCCAGAATACAATCCTCAAGTTTGATAGGTGGGATGGAATTCAAGACRTGGACCTTTGCGTCGCGAATAGCATTGCCGGCCTCGGGGCCATGGGCCACAGTCGGAGGCTCACAGCACAAGAGAGTCAAAACTTGYAACAAGTGATTTTGCAATATGTCACGAATGATACCGTTCCTTTATCGATGATAGCATAAATAGAAAATGAAGTGGAATTTCGTTAGTTTTTGTCTTCCGCGAAAGGCATTTTGCTTTGTAAATTTGTCAACTTACTGGTCGAAATACCCTCCTCTTCCRTCGGTACCGAAAGGTTCTTTGAATGTGAGAATCACCATCTTGACATTGTCAGCATTCCAAATACGTTCTGTCCATACATTAGAAAAACGAATCACAGTCAGATTTTGAACCATTTCTTTTCCAAGATAATGGTCAATTCGGTACATGTGATCTTCGGTGAAYTGAGAGCTCAGGGTCTTGTTCAGCTCCTCAAATGTGTCTAAATCCCGTCCAAATGGTTTCTCCACAATCAAACGAGTAAAGCCTTTTTCCTCGTCYTGCATACTAGTCGTCTTGATCGCAAGTGCAGTTTCGGCAAAGACAGAGGGAGGAATGGCAAAATAGAAAAGTCGATTGAATGCTTTCAAAGAAGACTTGGAGCTTTCGAATATTTCGATRCTATTCTTGAGCTTCTCCCAGGCCTCAAGATCACCATAGGAACTTCCCTGTTGGTAACAAATAATGGACAAAAAWTTCTCTACGACTTCGGTAGAGTGTCTTCCAGACTGGAGTAGGTAGGGACGGATGCGTTCTCTCAACCCATTATCACCGATATCACTACGGGCATATCCCCATATTTCAACATTCTTTGGAAGCAGTCCATCTGCGAACAGATTTAAGAGGGAGGGGTAGGTTTTCTTCTTGGCCAAGTCGCCGGATGCTCCGATAACGACAATGGAGAGACATCCACTCAGAAAGCTCAATTGATCTTCCATTTTWAATATTCTATGGATTTTTGAATGGCAGGTTGAATGAYATAAAAATTAGACCTTCTGAAGCAGTCGAACCCATGCGCTGGTSCAGCTCAACACCACGGTACATACCTTATTCAATTGTGTTCTGGTGCGCTTTGACGTAGGTTGARTGTAAGGTACAAATATTTTTTCTTCGTTTTGTGTGTTTGTTCTGACAAGTTTATGATTTATGACTACTGTATTTGCAGACATRAGAAAGATTGATGACTCCTACGGTAKCAGACACAAGAAAGATTTATCATTCGATCTCGTCATTTCCTSTACTTGAGGATGCATTGTGCCGTGAGGTGGTTATCATTGTGTCATGGGCGAAGATATCGAATGGGTAAGGCTTATTTGAAAACTTCAAAGTGGAGAATGGGATTACATAATAGGATTGTCACGTCGRAACCTTGGAAACAAAATAAAGTAATCAACACGTCAGAAATCCTTAGGTAAGTAGGGTACGTACGTACCTTGACAACATAGTTTGGGAAAATTTTCTYAAGAAAATTTTGTCGTCGTACGGGTCTTACCGTAACGAACTCAGTACGAAGTACTGTAGTGGTACGGCACTTCCTAGGCTAGGAAGTAGAAGTAATCACGCGCGCTGGATTACGAAAAGATCTCGCACCTCGATGGGTTACAAATCACAAACCTGCAAAATGGATTACATGTAATCAAAAATTGTATTCAGCGTCCCCCAGCGCAAGAGCCTTAATTTTTCCACGGTATTGCTGGTTATTTGGCTGAATCGGATTACAACTCCGAAAGCAAAATTTTCCCCATGGATTACTTTTTTTGAGGTCAATCACCTCCCAGACCAATTTTTTGTTTTCAACTGAGCTCACTCAACTTTGTACTATACAGTAGAAATCAAATTTTTTTCCATATCGGTGAACGTCCTCCGTATCCAGCTCCTCCGTATCAGCAAGTCGTATCAGCAACTCCTCGTATCAGTGTCCTCCGTATCATCGAGCGTCCTAGCTCGCCGATTATATTACATATCGCAACGAGGGTAGGGATAATAGTTTCGACACCAACTGGATCACACTCGCCGTACGGTAGATATGACTTCCGGTCTTCACAATTTTCCGAAGATCGAGCTCCACGCCCATCTGAATGGAAGCATACGGGAAACTACTCTCTTTGACCTTGCTGAGGAACGAAATATTCAACTGAACGAAAGCTTTTTCAATGCTTCGCCATCCGAGATCACTCATGGTATAGGTGACTTCGGAAGTAATGATCGAACTGGTTTGATAYATAACAAAMAACATCGCTCACTTGTTGATTGCTTCAACATATTTGCCGAGATCGGAAAAGTGGTAATAGATTTGGAGGCCATAGAACGGATTACAAGGGAAGCACTGGAAGACTTTGCAAAAGAGAGCGTGGCGTATTTAGAGTTGCGGTCAACGCCGAAGCGACTGCTCCCGGCACGTCAGTGGTGCGACGAGACGTTCTCTTTGGCATCAGTGGCAATCGAAGACCTTGCCACAAAACGCCAGTACTGCGAGAGAGTCATAAATACGATCATCAATTTTCAAAATGAGGAGGAGGAACGTTACAGAAAGGAATTGGAAACGTCGAATTCACTGAAGGACTTGAATAGCCAACGTCTTCCAATGATGGCATGCTTTATTGTGAGCGTAGATCGATCCAATCCTGTCGATCAAGGATTTGAAAACATTGATTTGGCCATCGAACTAGCAAAAGAATATCCTGGTGTAGTGGTCGGTGTTGATCTTGGAGGGAATCCATTAAAACGCAACTTTMWTGAGTTTCGGGATTGTTTTCAAAAGGCTCGTCAGAGCGGGTTGCTATCGGTCACTCTGCATTGTGCAGAAGTACCCTGTACTGATGATGATCAAGGTAGTGCAGCATATGAAGATGCATTGTCGATTCTAAAGTTTGGCCCTGATAGAGTTGGTCACGCTTTGATTTTGCCACCGTCCTTACAGCAGATATTAGCCAAATCGGGCATTCCGGTCGAAACCTGTCCTACCAGCAATGTTATGACTACGGAGCTGGTAGAAAAGAGTTCTGGTGGAAGTCTCGCTGAAGGAGTCAAGCGACATCCCCAGCTTCGGCAGTGGCTCAAAAACAAGCATCCAATTTGCATATGCACCGATGATCCTGGTGTATTCAACACGAACGCAACTCAAGAGTTTCTGTTATGTAAGACTTAACATACTGTTGGGAAAAGAACCYTGTGGACAAGACGTGGAGATAGTTTTCAATTGCTCACTTCGAGTTTGCTCTTGTTCCTTTATCAATGAAAACATTGACTGGTTTAATTCTAATTCAGTGCAAGAAGCATTTTTATTAGAGAATGATCATTTCAAGGAGATAGTTATGAATACAGTTGATTACTCATTTGCTAAGGAAGAAACCAAGGCAACTCTGAGAAAAAGAATAAGGGACAAACTTCTCGAATTAAAATTATGAAAGTTGTACTGGCGTAAATTGCATCAGTAAGTACGAAGTACCGTACWGTTGTAAGTATCTTAGTAAAGTGAAGAAGTAGTTCTGAACATCTCAGATGAAGGTTGATCAGATCGTCATGAGGGGGGGGGGGGTGATACATATTTGATGCTGGTGTTGGCATTCTATCTGGAGTTAAAAGTATTCAGGTGCTACATACTAAATCTTCGACAGGCATCCTTTTTTAAAATCCTGTTCTAAGGGTTGCATCAACGCCTTGGCTTGATCCMTTTGTACGAACAAAAGTAATGGTAACGGCAAACACTGGAGAGTTGGAGCTTCAGAAAATGAAACCAAACAATTGTTGGAAGTATTAAATTTGAGATCTTTAAAATATGAAGTACTGGTAGAGGAACGAATTGCACGAACAGGTAGTAATCCAATCGTTCGATATATTTTGACTGTGTTACACTTTCAACTTTTCAAAGTTGATAACGAGAAGGTAATCGTACTGAAAAAATGTTAATCCAACCATTGTTTGAAAACAGTAACTTGTTGGGAATCGTCAAATCATCTTCCTACGTAAAAACCAAATGTTGTGACGCCACGAGAGTAAACTTGATGGAAGATCTTGGTGGAACATCTCTGTGGCTTAGACTGGTACCGAAGGTCCAGAAGATCCAGCAGGTGGCGCGTTATCAAACTCTACATTGACATATTCATCCGATTTTCCGGTCAATGAATCAATTTTGAGTTTCTTGATACGTTTCGATGTCCACGAGACGAAGACAATTGATTGCAACAGACCGAAGATGCACGTCAAAAACAGGAGTACAGCTCGTTGTCCATAAAATCCAGTTTCCTCAATTTCGCGTCCTTCCGTTYGGATGGTGTCCTCACTTCCGACTAGGAGAATGATGGTCACAAAGCAGCAATTTGCAAATCCAAGGAGGATCACACGCAATTTCTCAAGCTTAATCACATTCGTTCCGCAAGTATTTCCTACGTAGGCTATACAGGCGAGGAGCGCAAGTGACCAAAGATAGACGAAAAGAACAGCACGACTCTCTTCCTCAGGCTCTCGTCCCTCGCGTTCGCCCCAAATATCTGGAAAAAGAAAAGAATTGAAATAAACGCATTGAAATGAATTAGTTTTTCGGTCAAAATGTATCGTTGCTGCGAGCAATCATGTTCGTTTGAATKATGCATTCRATGCAACCAACTCACACCACCATGGGGCACTCAATTCGTCTTCGTTCTCTTCRTTTCCATTTCGTCTATTGTTGGTCTTTTTCCAGAATTCCCACCAGTGATTTGGACCAACATAATTTCCATACTCATCATAGTAGTCTGGGTTTTCGTAGTTGCTTTGGTATTGGTTATTCTGGTTACCATTCTGGTTTTCGTCCTCGTTACCATAGGTTGTAAGCCGAGCTGTCGTAAAGGCAAACAGTGGTAACAAAAAGGTTACGACACTGGCAATATTCCATACGAGGAGAAACGTGTCTGATTTGATAGAGGCGAGAGAGATCATGATGCGTCTAGTTTGGATCTTTCAAAGAGTACGAGATAGTCAGATGCTCCGATGTGTTTTCTTTTATTTGTCTGATGTATGGTGTAGCATGCCTTCACTTCACGAAGTTAGTGCAGGCGGGTGTGACCCACGATATCTTAAAAGCAAAGGTTGCAACGAATACGAATACGAGAAGTACCTACGGTATTCTTGATGGCATGYCTTCATTCATCTGTCACGGTACGATATACCTATTCGTACGGGATAGATTCGTTAACACAACTTGGCGATTAACCGTAATCGATCCGCTCGGAGTTCGCCAAAAGGAATTATTMAAGATCTTGATTTCATTGGAGTGTGCGCCAAATAAATTAGGAAGTCCCTTCGSTGGGGGCGAACAACGGATAGTTTGCACGTGCAGTGAATGTCCATTCCCACATTCTAGTCTTGTTGTTTTTCGTACTGTACCCGCACTGGTCAATCAATCAGGGACGTAATTTATATAATTTATACTAGTAATTTATTGGCGAGCATACAGTAGTACTTGGTACTACCCTTCATACCGTACACTGATATTCAATCAGCACCTGACAAATCATGATCACCAGTAACAAGAAGCTCCAAAGATTACAGAACTGGTGCCTTGAAAATTCTTGTTGTGTCCTACTTCATGAAGGGGAGGAAGTTGTAAGCAAATGCCAATATAAACAGAGAAAAATTGAGTGCTCACTCCTGCAAAGCAAACAAGCAAGAAGAAGAAGAAGAAGAAGAAGAAGAAGAAGAGAGAGAGAGAGAGAGGAGCAGCAGTTAACAAGCAAGAAACTGGAGAGGAAATCTGGAAACAGCAGATATAATTAGTATTTCATTAGCTAGTAGTAGTAGAAAACAAGCAAAGAGGATATCAATTGAATCTTAAACTTCTCACTATAAACCGGTAGTACATCACTCAAAAACACACACTCCATCCTGTACGTGAGAAATTCGAACTTATCATACCGGTACGGGTACAAGTATGGCACGTTCTGGCGGGACCAGTTTCTTACAACAAAATTAGGCCACCAGCTACTTTAACTTTGGTGAGCCAGTTCTAAGCTAGTACCATAGCATCATAATATGGGTTCCCAATGACATGGATCTCTACTAACTACTACTAGTAATAATAGTATCAATAAAGAGATACTAGCTGGTGAACGGGATCAGAGTTTTTTTGTCACTTGCTGGCCTATTTTATAAGTCATGACCAGTCTCGAGTACTACTACTAGCTATTTTTGGCACCATACAGTACTGCTGGTGYAGTGAGATGAGAATTGCAGCATCCTTTCTACTATAGCACTTCATCATTACAACACCTGCACATGTACACCTCCCCAACACTATGACTGAGCATATCACCAAAGGGGAGGACATTGTAGCCRGTTCTAGAGCAGTTCTGATGGCTCTTGGTCACTTGGTTTTCATGTTTGGAAAACAAAATATATAGAGCTGTGGTTTAGAATGGTGCAGTACGAGACAAAAATTATTGTCACAACAAACAAGAATAAAAGAACCATGATCCAGAAAATTGTCAACAGAGCCCTTTGTTGGAAATTAATTCACAAGCAAATCATCCCCAATAACAATGAAAAGATGTAGATCTACTAATTAGATAATGCTTGTTACAGTCGACCAATTGGAATTGCCAAGGGAAGCTTCCTTCCTGGTGTTCTTGCTGTGTTTGCTGAATTCAAAATTTTCTTACATTTCTGCCTATGTAGTATAACAGTCATTGAAATAAGAGTTCTTTGAACCAAGGAACAATATTTGGCAGCCTTTCAAAGGAGACTCAGAGCTTTCTAACAGTAGTACCCTCCTAGTGCTTTGGTTATGCAGTCATTGCAATTCCCATGGTCATGTTGAGGTGGATTTGTTTGGTKAGTGCAGGTTGTGTCAGTTTTTTTGTGTAGAACTTGGTAGGGTCCCTGCACTTTACAGACAGAACTGTTGTTAAACTTGTACTAGTACATGTAAAATAAAAATTGAACTTTCAATAAATGAGGGGTTGGGAACACGTTAAATTAACATACAGTACGTATGTGTCGTAGGCTCATAGAAATGAGTACTGCAGTTTTTGCTTCAATTTAACATCCTAAATCCTCTGCTTAACAGTCTGAAYGCTAGCAGGGGCAGTGTCCTCTTCTTCCTCTTTTTAGAAAAGATTATTGGTKTATGATGCTAGCAGGCTACTACCAAATGAAGAATCATGTGGATAATACTAGGATCTATGTCCTATGAGCCATACTACTAGGATATACAAAGATTCCAAATGTTAAATTAACATTCTATAGTACGTTACTAGTTTGACATTCCCAACCCCTTATTTAAAGAAAGTTCAACTGTTACTATTTTATGCATAGTATTTTCATATTTTATTATTTTTTCAACTAAAAAGCATAGACAGTACTGAAATAGTACTACTACTAAAACTACCTATCATAATGCCCTACTACTTTCTAATATTATTTATCTCTGCAACTCAATATCAGATAAGCCCCCTTTAGTTTTTAGCAGCATTCATCTTGTCACATAAATGAGTGTGCACTGGGTATCAAGGATTATTTGGATTTGTTAATAGTAAATCTACAGTAGTAGTAGTAGTAGTAGTAGTAGTAGTAGTAGTAGTAAGAAGCCTAAACATGTCTTGTCAGTATAGTAACAAGTGATGGTGATCTCCAGCATTAAAAGCACCTCTTATCCAAAAGGACTTCCAGAGTGACTTCAAGGACATGTCAGTAGATAAAGTTCATCCATTACCTACAGGTGGTGATGTATCAACATCTATACCACCATCTGAGTAATGAAGGCACAATTACTAGTAGTACTACTACTAGTAGGAGGAGTATAACAATTTTGATTAAAAAATCTCCTCTTAATATTTTAGTTGCCACTCTCCTCCTGTTGGATTTTGATTGTAATTGCCAGAAGGTTTGAGAGCTACAGCATACTANTACATAGCCTCAAACAGGTAACAAAAAACTGTATTTTCTGTTGGGCAAGAAGTGCTCTTCATATGAGCTCTGCCATAATATCTTCTTCAACAATTGTTTTCTTCTTCCTCCTCTGATCAATCAATAAGTGACAAGACCTTATCCCTCTTGCTCCTATCCATMCCTAACAATGCAGCTCTTTGCTTTAATGTCTTAAAATACTCCTTTTCTTCCATCTACATTCTAAGCAACAATGCTTTCATCTGGATTCCAGGACTACTAATAAAGTCTCKTTGTCGATCAAAAATTCTRACAAAAGCACATAGTAATGAAACTTTTGTTGCTTTGACAAGAATGGCATCAAGAAGGGGGAAGTTTCTGATCAAGAACTCAGAGCTGGAAGAGTCTGGAGGTAGAATGTTCCCTTTCCTCCAAAGCAAGAGTTGGGAGTACTGTTCTACTTGACTGAAAAGCTCATTAGCTTCTTCTTGTGGCTTTCTTACCCTTGATTTCTTTATATCTTCCAGATCTTTCACTACCTCAGYAGACCTCCTGGTGCTCTCAAGGATTTCCTTTGTGATGATAGGCTGAGCCCTTGCATACACAAGAGATTCCCCTGACAGTGGTGGCATGATACTACCCATGGAATCTTTGTCTATTGGAAAGCCATGACTAATAGGTTTCTTCAGAAATCTTCCCCTGAAAAATAATTTCATTGGTGCACTGTAGAAGACTSACAATTGCACAAGACTCCTCAGATGGAGGTGCTGCCCCTTGTAGCAGCTAGTAGGAGCATTCTTCTCCATGGAAGTTATGGCTCTTGTCCTAGTGCATCTTCTAGTTCACATGGTTAAATATGATAATATTATGATTTATTAGAGAGACTTAGAGAGGCACATTACTTGCTT